GGAATTCAGGGAACATTTCTAAAACAATTGACCAAACCATAAAACATGGCATATTCTTTTAAAGCAAAGGTGCCTGTTAAAATGCTTTACACTTGTCAATATGAAGCCACAATAACTTAGCAATACTGTTACCAAAAATGGAGTAACTTTTTGAAATTCTTTAGGATATTGCAGAGGAGAACATTCAATTTGATATCACCTAAATTCAATTTCAGTATATTTTTCTCAGATGGCCTCCTGCAAGAAAGCGTGCTGATACATAGGCAACTTCGTAAATAGGACATCTTTACTAATTACAAGCATGCAAAGACATACTGTGTGGGATGAAATTTTTGTGGGATCCAATTTTTGCAAATTTCGCAGATTAAATCCCCTGAAAACAAACTCTGGCGAACAAAAATTCAGCAGAAATTTACTCCTTTTATTTACATTGCTGAATTTCAATGGAAGTGGTTGCAAACAGTGTCACGAAGGCGACCACATGGCTTCCGTTTTTGTTACTTTCAAGTACCACACATGAAATCCGTGAAAAATTATTCCCAGAAGTGAAGTCTGAAATCCAAATAATTGGCAAAAATTTGTTCCTGTAAAACTCAAAAATCTAAAGTCTGCGAAATTAAACTCCCGCAAAAATTTCATGCTACACGGTAGACATTTTTTATAATAGGTATAAGTTTTACTTGCTGTCTTATCCTTTTAGAAAACACTTATTTTTAATTTAATTAAAAGCCATTAAAGATCTTAGAGCTTTAGTTTAGGTATTAAGTTAGCATTTTTGAATATGTTTATAATACTAGTGCTATACCAATTTATTTTACAATAACTGGAGACATTGTTACCGTATTGCATCATCTGGACCTCCATGAGTTTTACCTTCGGGATTAAAATGGGGGCCAGAACTTGTACAACCTGAAAATGAAAACAAACAGATAGTCCGCTATATGTTTAGCATAATGTGGTAACCCTAAACATATCATTTACTCCTCTTTCACTATTGAACCATCAAACTGTCCTCGTAGCTGTCATCCTACTCACACCCGCTTTCAGTGTTACCTGCATAGGTGTCATCTTTGCACTAACTTTTGACACGCAATCTTTCAACATGCCATCTTTCGACATGCTATTTAAATAGCTAACAGATTGTTAAACTGTGAAAGTGGAATTTTTCCAGTTATGATAATTACTGTTCCCAAATGGCTGAGGAGGATTGTAGACTTTGAATGTTTCCAGCTGTATGGGATAATTCCAACGATTTGTGTGTAGTCCATCAGCTCTCAATAGTGACTTGTGGTCGAATTGAGTTGTTACCGCTTTTAGTATTCGAAAGATGTAAACATTCAAAACAGTCATCTCTAATAGTGTGACTTCTTGATTTTGGTTGTCATGTGACTATCTGTACGTATGTACGTCCATCTATCTGTCCGTACCCCAAACCCCCTTCCTTGAAATATAGGAGAGTAGCACCACTACCGTAGGTACATCTTTGATATTGGACATCCATGTTATGATTAATTGACAGCTGTCAAAGCAAGGTATTCGCTGACCAGTATCATGTGACCTTATCGCAGGCTCAGATCAAGAGCTCACCAAGGTCGCGTGTAAGCAGTCAAAATGTCACGATCTACATCTCAAGTGACTACATCGTGAGACTAACGATAATACACTTAATTATTGCATCTACCACAATGAACAACAACAACCTTTTCCTCGATACAAGTTTATGTTCCACCATTTTGGTTTTGTTTCTTGAAAATTTTCATCCCAGTCGACCACGCTGAAATTTCCCATATGAACAGACCACAAAATTTGTCCCAGTAACTGAGCCAGCACAGTTACCGGGCTCATATGAAGAGGCCCTCAGAACCCTACCATTTGTGCCATCTCCAAACTGGTGAACGTGGAATCCATGCAGTCCAGGTGTAAGACCCTCCACTTCACCAGTAATCTTGCACACATCTCCATCCTGTAAGAAAATTTGGGGTTAATCACTGTTTTTCAGACTCGGGCCTGTTGATCAAGGGATAACGTTTCTCTGTTGTAAAATATCAACGTCATGGAAACAGTGTGGACCGATGAGGGTGTTGCCCAATGTAGATGATGCCCCAGTTGCACGGAAGCAAAAGTAACACATGAGAAGTCTCACTGACTTCAGGAAACGATTTAAATGATTTATCTTTACTTGAAAAAAACATTTAAAGCTTCATTTCCCATGCTGTGAGTTATTTTACAACTTTTTTAACAGCTTAAAATATTTAGCAAAGATCTGATCGTAAGAGCGAATGAATTCACTATTCACGCACATGTATTCACTCGTCCTCAGGCAATACTAACAACTTACCTGCTCAAAGTGGATCACACCTTTCACAGGGCTATTGTTGGGTAATAAAACGCAAACTGCCTTCAGTGCCATAGCTAGTTCTGAATTTCTTTACGACTTCGAACAGCTTGAACCCTTTTCTCTACAGCAATATGCCAAATCAGCACGTGATCTTCTTGTCAAGCTCACAGAGGAACCTGGGAAAACGCTTGAAGGAAAGCGTCAAGTCATCGCGCTTTGTTCCAAGGTTGTTACACAATAAACAGGAGTATTTTCTTATTTCACTCTGTCGCTTCTTTCAGCTCTCTTCCAGGCGTTCAGTTAGTTTGAGAGAAGCGCGAAAACACAGCGGAGCGAAAAAGGGAGAGAGTCTTTCTTGGTGCGAGGAGCGATCGAAGACGGGAGGTTATCAGCATACCAGCGGAATGTGGCATTCCCTGCGTTACAAATACGTCAATAAACGGCCATATATTGAGCCTGGGTCGCCTGCGGTTTTGATCTTCTGCGCTACGCAATTTCTAGCCTGAAAGGGCCGAGAAGAAACTGGCTGAGAATGAAGTGGTCTCCCCTACCATCTCTTCTAACCTCTTTCTTCCCGCTTTCTCTTCGCCCCACCCTCGACTAGAGAGCCTGTTCACAGGATACATTCATGGTCATGGGCTCGCCATGGCTTTTGTCAGCACCAGAGCATCCTTAAACTTGGTTGCTTATGAAGTTGTCTGTGGTTGACCCAAATAAATAAAATATATAAATAAATAAATAACTTAATTTAAGTATCGAATGTACAAAGTACTGTAGTGCTTATTGGGGACACTGTAAATAACTAAGTATTGAAAATAGGACACAGACTGCCCAGTTGGCTGTTTTTACACAACGCGGTCGAGGAATTTAACTCAGGACTACCGAGAACAAATCCAGATAGCGGTAAGGTGGAGCCGACCAAGGTGTGTTCGACCAAGGCGAAGTACAGAGGAAACTCGGTTTTTTTGGTCTTTTCTAGCTAAAAACATTTTAGGGCAGCCCGCACGTGACATCTGGGCCCTTTTTTTGGCACGAAACGGCGGGTGCTTGATAAATAAATCAACCGTTACGGCCTTGAGAAAGCCGCTGGTTAAAACAGTACTTCGGTATAAGCCCACTCAAAGTGTCGCCAGACAAGACTGACTTGGTGACAACGGAAAAGCCCTGAAGACCAGATTCAGTACAATTAACAACTCACAACGTTTTCAACTGCATCATAATTTATTAAACTAAGGTTACGAACATCTGACTGCAATTTTCCTCTTAATTTATTAGTATCTTTTTTTTTTCGTTTTTGTTTTTTCTGCGAGGATGTCCAATGTTGACATCCCACTGTTTACGAATACTTTGACCCCACCGTCCCTTTCTCGCGACTGTGATGCGATTGTCGACTCGCGAAAGAACGAGACAAACGAAAGAAGTGCTCTTTAAAGATCACACATGAAGCATGCAGGAAGACCAAATTACCAAGTGAAAAGGGCTGGTAAAACAGTGGTAAGCTTATCAGCAGAAAAATATAGATCAAACACTTCGACTGGAAGTTCAAAGCTACATTGCTAAGAAACATGGCTGACGTTGTCTGTTCGAGTGCAAACCATTTACAATGCATGTATTCAAGTTCGTACAATTCGTCAGGGGTTCGTCACGCTATTTATGATCATTCTTGCCCATCTTCATTCCACAAATGTGATTGATGAAATCAAGGTTACATAAGACGACTTCGCGTACAAATTGACCCCAACAAGTAATTGGCTTATCCAGGGGGGCGTCGGACAGGCCCCTCCGTCTCCCCCTCCCCGCTACCTTACATATACGACCCAAACTGCCGAAAGTTGGTCTTACGTTTTGACCAGTTGCAAAGACCTCATTTCTCTTTAGACCAGCAAGCAAAAAATTAAATAGCGTAACCAAACCCATATATACGGAAATAGGAATAGCACCAAAACAAACAGAACGTAATTCTGTAATTTTAACTCGCTTTAAAAAAAATCCTTTTTACTCGGAGTGAAGTGTCTAAACACAAGATTGAGTAGGATAAGTTGAAGCGCAGACTCAAGTCGGTTTGTTATCGTTAGCGTTGACTGTTGGTTTTGGTAGCGTGACCGTAGTTCTCGCTGGTGTTATTTGACAAAATAATACTAACTAGCCGACTTCGTTTAACACAACAAACCGAGTAATTTGAACATGACGTTGGATCTTCGAAACCGAGTTAAGAACTGAAGATGGTACCATGCACGGAAAACAAATGAAAAGTGTTTCCTTTTTCAAGGATTCTTAAAGTTATCTACAATTTCAAGTGAATTGCGGGTAAGTCGCGCAAAGCTATGGTATGCACAACCGGCCTGGCATAAGATGAACAGAAACTTGGTATCAGACCCAGTCCTGAACAGTTTTGTTTGAGAGGAGATCTGGGTGAAATGAAAGAACTCCACAAGCAGCACTTCTCTGTGTTTAAATCTCGCATGCCACGAGAACGGACAGCAGTCCAAAGGGTTCTTGGGAACGGTATGAATAAGCCTGGTAAAGAAAGCGTTGCTAAGAACGGTTGCAGTTCAACCAGAAGAGATTTTAAGTATTTCGTGAGGAACATGCTTCGGAATTCGAAAGTAACACCGTGACATCAGAATCTGACTATAGGATGTAACAACACTTTTTTTTGTCCTAAAATTAGGATATGAACACCTGTATTACTTTTAACGAAATATAAACTAACATATTCAAGCCCAGACAAATGCTGCGACTTTGCTACCCAACTGGCAAACCCAATAACTTAGTAAGATTATAAATTAAGAGCAACAACAGGGTAGCGACAAACAAAGCGTTCTCTAAGTCGGGGGTCTTACAGCAAGCCTTTGGGACCCTTACACACGGGGATGTAGCAAGGAGCGCTGGGATCCAGACCACTTCCGGACAGCTCGATATGATTTGGGGAGATGAGATGATTGGAAGCAAAGCGCGGAACTCCAGGGGAATCCCCGGTAGTGTAGGTAGTGGTAGCGGGCATGACAGCCATCACCTCGGCGATCTTCAGCTTCAAGGTTTCGATCTCTCGATCTTTTGTCTTGAGGTTCGCCTGCGCTATCTCCAACTGCCTGCGCGTGTCGCCTAAAGCCGAGAACAGGTCCAACTTCAAGCGCGTCTCGGAACTCAAACTGTTCTCTAGATGAGTGTTCTTGCCCTGCATGGTTGTCAGTGCAGACATAAGCACCTCCGTCTCTTTCTTTAACTGCATGCTATCATATTCCCTGGTCTTTTGTCGCAGCGTTTCAGCCTCCTTGTCGACTCGCTTGATTTCCTCTTCTTTCTCTTGCAGCAAAGCACGCAGCTGACGACTGTCTTCCTCCAGTTCGTTCCTGAGTGCGTTACACGCCTCATGACCTGTCGTTTCTTCGCGCTGTTTCGCGGCCGCGTCCTCGGCTTTCTGTCGTCTGCGCTCCTCTCGTAGCTGACTCTCCGCCAAAAGCCGAGCATCTCGCTCAGTTTTTAGTTTACGTTCCAGAGAAGAGATGTTATTACGATCTTGCTGCCGTGCTGAGGACATGGTTTGAAGTCTGCGGAGAAAAACACGGATGATTTAAGTTTCAATTCAACACGACGCTAATATTTTACAGTCGAACCTCCCGTAAGCTACCACCCAAAATGTCAAGCCTATGTGGTCGCTTACGGGAGGTGGTCGCTTACCAGAGCTTAGAACTGCATATTAGGTCAAAATGTTGCCTCATTAACATATGGTAATTTTTAAGACATTTAGGTCGTCTCTTTTAAGACTGATAAAGTACAGTGTATGTGCGTTTTATCTTTAAATTTTCAATGTTTTATTCATGTGAAAAATCAATTTCGAGAAAAAATCCGGTACTACCCAGGAATGCAATAATGTTACAACACCTTATTATCCAATTTTCGCACTATTATCTGTCAAGTATTATTTGTCGCTTACGGGAGGTTAAAAACAAAAGAAAATTTCAAACTTTCAGCTCTAAAAGTGGTCGCGGTCGCTTACGAGAGGTGGTCGCTTACAAGAGGTTCCAAATATAGTGATTTGACAGGGAAACTTTTGGTATTTTGGAAAACTGGTCGCTGACGAGAGGTGGTCGCAACCGGAGGTTGCACTGTAGTTAGATAACAAAACGCACCAGGATCTTTGTATTTACAAGAGAGGGTAAGAAAAGCTGGGAGAACGGTTTGACTGTAAGTACCAATAACATTACACTCGGACATATCTTATTTGTTGGTGTGAATCAAGGGCCAGAGGTTAATTAGTTGTACAACTATTAAGTGTAACCCTCTTTAAATAAAGTTTGATTGATTGATTGAGTAAGTGAGTGAGTGAGTGAGTGAGTGAGTGAGTGAGTGTTTGCTTGACTGACTGACTGACTGACTGACTGACTGACTGATTGATTGATTGATTGATTGAATCAACTTACTTTTGTTGTATAACCTCGCACTCGGACTTCAGCTGCTGCAGTTCAACCTTAGTAGATCGTTCGCTGGCCATCAAACTGTGCATGGTGGATCTCAGCTCCTGTTCGCCTTGTCGACTGGTCTGCAGCTCCACTCTCAGTCGTTTACTATCATTCTCTAGTTGGGTTACATTGCTCTCAGCCCGACGACTGAAACAGAAAAAGAAACACTTGCAATGACACACTAAAAACAAACATACCTGCCAGAGAAAGTTTACATAAATAGATAGATAAGAAGCAAGGTTGAAGTAATTTAGTCACCTTTTCGACACATTTACGTTGGTTGGTGAAAAAACCCACCGCAAAACCGAGTTTATACCTCGGGAGGCAGCAAAGTCTAGGTGACTACACGTCTCTTTGTTAAACTACTAGGACTACATGTACCCGTGTTTGGAGACGACTAAGAGCGACGGAAATTGTGCATTATCAGTGGGAAAAAAACATAAAGATCTCAGAAAAAAAAACTACCGTCATCAGCATTACATGACTCTTCTTTCTGCTCACCACGCAATCTTTTCGTGGGAGACGACGTTGTCGTGACGAGTCCGAAAAGTGCATGCTGCGATCAGCGTAACGGTAATGTGACAACTGAACAGCAATACGTTACTGATAAATTTAGAAACCCTAGGGCACCCTCTGTAAAAAGAACAATCACGCAAGTGAGGCATAATGCAACTCCCCACCCCCATCCCCTCTAACCCCCCCAAAACAGACGAATCAAGTGAATGTAAGTAACCACGTTTACAAGAAACATAAAACTCTGAAGACATAAAAAACTACTGGTAATTGCAACATGCTTACCGTAGCAGCCTCTCCTCCTTCAGTTGAGCGGAGAGACTAGGTCCAAGGTCAACAGACTGAGATTTCTCATGTCCCTGTAGAGGGGAAAAAAGACCAAGTGAAATAGTCTGAGAAACACTGAAGAAAAAAAGAACAAAATGAATTCAATCGACAACAATACTGCACGTACCTTGGGTGAGTTGCTCCTACTATTCTTTCGACTGTTGTTAATGGAGCTACTGGACGCACTCAAAGAATCGCTGTCAGACTCGTCATTGTCGTCATCATCATTATGATCATCGTAGTCTTTCAACTTTTCACTTGCTTTTGTGGCATTTTTCTTGGAAGACTTTCCAAACACACCGCTGAATGTAGCACGGTTCTGTTGTCCCCCTCTACCGTTCTTTTGACTTGCTTCCAGAGACAGTTTATCAAGTTCATTTAAGTTATGGTCCTCACTTGTCTTTTTTGATGCGAGATTTGAAAGGACATCTAGATCTTTCAGTGCATTCCCTTTCAAAGTAGGCCTTGATTCTAGATCACTTAGTTTTAAGCCGCGCCGACTGGCCTCCTTGGCTATAAACAGTTCTAGGTCGGTCTTTGTGTTTATCCCATTTGTCATAACAGGTAGAGACCGTCCTCGTGGTAACGCAACATCTCCATTTGCAACTTTACCATTACATATAGCTGCATTGAGGCAATAAAAAACAAATCAAAGTCAATAGCACAGAGCAGTAAGCAGCAGTTTGTAAATATTTTAAAAGACAAAATCTTTGCACGTGATATATCAGTTAACATCCTATTCCCTGGAAATAAACAGGCCTTTTACAACAATTGGTCACGCAATCGATTATCCAACATGTAAAACTTGTGCTGAAGCTCTATCATTTGAAAAGAGCAAGTTTTAATTAACACAAATACTAATTTTCTGAACAATTAACCCTTTCAAAACAAAAACCATTGTCGCTATATTATTGTAACTACGGGTAATCAGAATAGTGTACATCAGACAATTAACCATACGGGAATAATTCCAGCCAGTAAAGAGCAAGGGAAGAACTTATGGCGGTTTTAAATTTTGAAAGATTCTTAAGGAAAAGTGCTAGAGTCCAACTGGGCAGCAACGTTTGTTCTTCCAATACAAATCCTTCTCCTATGTGAGTTGCTTTCATGTTCAACTTCATGGCAAGTAGATTATGAATGTGACCAACTATTGAGGTTTATGACAATAGGCCATGTTCGTATTCTCGGTATTGGACTGGAACTAGCATGTAACTGAGGCTAATGTGGGAAGTCATTTCAAATGCAAATGACATCAATCTTTTTTAATGATATTCCCCTTTGCAAGCTACTTCCATTGCCTTAGACTGCCTCCCTGCTGCCTCCATTGCAAGCTACTTCCAGTCCAATACCAAGAATACAAATATGGCTTAGGCTCTCTTCATATGAGCCTGGTAACTGAGCTGGCTTGGTTACTGGGACAAATTTTGCTGTCTGTTCAAATGGGAAATTTCAGCCTTGTCAACCTGGATGAAATTCAAGAAACAAAAACCAAAACGGTGCCACATAAAGTTGTTGGAAATATATGTATACAAGGCAAACATTGTGCCATTTTAGCTGCTAAGTTGCAAAAGCAAAGCTATTCTGTCGAACAAGTTTTGCCCCAGTTACCCAAGCTGGAGAGTTCATATTGGATAATGCAGCAATCTCCAACTTTCAACAACAGGTTTCTGCCACCTGAACATTCATGTCTGCTTCACAGTTGTTCCATTGGATAAGCTATTTTGCAGCATCATATTAAAATTAATCATGTTTAATTATTCACGCATTTAGCAGTCTCTACCTCTAGATGGTCTTTCTGGTGCCTCCGAATGGTTGTTCGTCTCAGGAGGCAATGCAAGGTTTATAAGCTGCATATAAAACTCATTCTCCTTTGCTACATGCTGCACTCGTCGCTGTAAACATAATGCAAAAGAATGAATAGATTTAAATAACTGCTCTGATAAGCGAAAAAACACAGCTGCAGGTCAAAGGGTCACCTGACATACAATAATTTGGGTTTCATATGGGTTCCAGTTTCCCACTGGTTATTGCAAATCAAAACAAGGATTTTTGTTCTGGTCTTCAAATTTTCATGTCATCTCTGATCAATTAACGGAACAAATGCATGGCAACATGGAATCTATTTAACCTTACTTCACTTACTTCACTGAAACTCTAGATTTAATTCTGAAAGTTATTCTCATTTGTCAAATCAAACCCCTCAGCCATGAACATAATAAAAGTTACACCACACATGCACAAACCTAATTGATCGTAATCTTTTTAAAAATCATTCTTACCTGACGCATTTTATAGCCTACATAACTTTTAACACCATAGCCAAGTGTAACCACGGGATAACCAATACTGCAAAAATGAATAGACCAAAGTGATGTACTTCAAGTCAAACAGGGGTGGCAATTGGCCAAGACAATACCAATAACCTGGTTTGCAGGATAAGAGGAAGTTTTCCCTGAATAAGTTTGATACGAAAAATTATTTATGATAAACATGAATATAGCAGTTGCTACACTTTTAGTGGAGAAAGCAAAAAGCTGAAAACTGATACTTTAATACACCTTAACCTCCAGTTTTTAGAAACAAAATCTGTGACTTTCATAGTGAAAGAATGAACCTTATGATCATAAGCAAACATGCAAGATGAACTAAATCCTATGTTGCGAGTGAGTACCTGGGTGGGGAAGTTTGGGCTATCTTGCCCACACAGGATTATATGCTGCTTCCTGTGAAAAATTATGCTCTTTATGCATTTTATAATAAATCTTTTGTTCACCAAGGTTGCTTGGTCAAGATGGAATATTGGCATCATTCTATGGACTGTCAACAACCACAACCTGTAACACTTATAATGGCTGAGCATGACTGACAGGTCTTTGATGTTAATGATGAACTTTCCAGTTGCTGGTGTTATTCACCAACAATGTAAGAAGTTTATTTCAGGTGTACAGATCAAGGAAAAAGGTGAACTTTCCTGTTGTTGGTGTAATCCACCAACATTGTAGGAAGTTTATTTCAGGTGTAAAGATCAAGGAAAAAGGTGACTTAAAACTTAACAATAGTCCTGATTCTGTTTATTTTTTTACCGACATTTATGGACCTCAAGTGTGTCTTAATCCAAAACCTCACACACAGAAAAGAATGTGGCCAATATCCAGCCATCTTGACCTCACACTAAGTCAATAGCCCATACATGGAGCTATCATGTTCTTGATTTTTTTGGAAAAGCCCTTGAGTAGATTGGCATCACTTTCTGTTTTTGTTTTCACCACTAAGAACATTATTAACAATTTCACAATCTTATGAATAATATCCTTTGCTAGTTCTCTCAGTTCTAGCTGATAGGATAATAGGGAGCTTAAGCAATGACAATGCTGCCAATAAGGACGATACCTAGTCAAAAATGAATTTACATTTTACAAGCGAAGTTTGCAATTGTCTAGATCTGTTCGGTATGCCAATGACACTAAAAACGTGCTCAGGCTAAATATGCAACAACAGCATTCAATTCCAAGAGGAACGACGAAGAATTAGCTGTCATCGACCACGTTCCATAGACGACGCAGAACTTGGTCATTTCACGTTGCTGCTTTGCAGAGGACAGCAAAGAAATGTACAAAGATTTATAACGCACGTGCACAGCTATTGTTTTGTTCATTAAACCTTTTGTTTAGTGACTTTATCGTTGCCGCCGTCTTCGTGGTTTGCTTAAGCTCCCTAATTATAGAGCTAGCATAGAAGAAACTGGCAAAGGAAATTGTTTTAACAAATTGCTGTTTCATCAAATTGTTCAAATGAAAAGTTCAGGGCTGTTTTGCATGTGCTGGCCTCAAAATTTTGGAGTTGGACCACTCATAGCCAGAAGGCTTTAAAATGATCTCTGTGAAGGGACCAATTCACTTTCACCATACCTTCTCCACCCAAGTGTTGACAGGCTAAAAATTTGTTTTTCTTGTTTCCTTATTGGCTGGCTTCAGACAGGGCAGGAGACAGGGCAGGAAAAAAATCCAGGTCCAGTTGCCCGTGGAAAGAAAATTTTGCTCTTAGGGAAGTGAAAATGGAATTTTCCTGGTCCAATGGGCAAGTGAAATTAGCCTCAGTAGTCTTTCTGGAGAAAATTTTCGATCAAAAACAATAAGGTGAGTTAAACAAAGAGTTAAAAGCATGGATCAATAATAATTATTTAAAATCCCAACATGCTTTGCTCACTTTTGCCCTCCAATCGCCCTTCTGGCTGGATTAGTTGATAAGGCATGAACATTGCGCACATAGTGGGGACAACTGAAAACTGAAATGTACTGGCCCACTGGGCAACTGAATTTCAATTTTTTTTTCCTGCCCTGTTCAGGTATAATGACTAAAACAGCCTTGAAACTAGTACAGACAAAACAACTCTGAAAATTTTAGCAACAAAATAATTTTGAACACAGCTTAGGACATTCCAGGAAAAAACCCATGACCACCATGACAAAAATAACATTGAACCCAGAAAATCAACTGAACAATCTAGCAAGTAAATGTATTGTCCCTTTAGCATTACAATAAAAGTGAAAACAGTTTTGAACAGACAAAACAGGAATCATTGGAGTGCTTTTCATTTGAGTGTGGTATATAACCAAAACCAACGTAATCACTCTATCCAATCACAAAGCACACAGACAATACAGTGAACATATCAAAACTTGAAGTAATTACATGTAGCTGATGTGAAGCACAGCAAAATGTGAGCATGCAAGTGATGATTGGTTTTGGTTTTAGTTCGGATTGGATGAAAAACTGGTGCAAGTTTCTTGAAGCCCATTGTGTAGCATAGTAATGCAAAATCATTACTTTTCAACACTAAAATGAAAACTCTAAACCAACATTTTTTGATTACTACCCCTAACTATGTTCTCTGTCTTACGAGTACATGTATAACACGACATACTTGAAATTACCATAACATTAATAAGAAGTTGAATGATGAACAAATTGATGCTAGTTTTTATGTGTCTGTCCTCTTATTGATGATAAATTGCATCATAACATTGTCAAAGTGGCTGTGGAACCACGAGCCATAGGCGAGTGGTTCCACAATGAACTTTTCACAATGTTATGACGAAATTTATCATGAATAAGAGGACAGACGCATAAAAAAACTGACGTCAATTTGTTTTTTACAATAACAAGACCCCAAAATGGTCCAATGCCGGGAATAAATGAGGGGCAAAGACGCCATAAAATTGCTGTAAACAAAGATAAGTGTAATTCATTCAAAATGACACAAGCTTTGTCAATAGCTTTTCTCGCTTTTTGATTGGCTACTTAAAATAGTCCATAAAATCTCATTGGTTAAAAAGTTGACAGTTTGACAGCTGAAAGTTGAACTTGAAAGCTTGCATAAATTAAACTTTTATCTGCCTGTGCTCTTATTGATGATAAATGAGCCAATCAGCGTGCGAGAAATTAGACAGTTATTGTAAAATGTACTTTTGCAAAACGATCACCATAAACAAGCGGTGTTAGCTGGCATTGGGGCATAAATATCAGTTTGATCCAGAAATACACCAAGAAAATCCTTGGAACTGACTTTCCTATTATGTTAGTAAGCAGTTCATAATCTTTTGGTTGAAGATTGCGATGATGAAAATCAATGTGATTCATGAACAAGGTTTGAACAAAGAAACTCCCTGACAATCACAACAAAATACATTTAATAGGGCAAGAGATCTTTACACCTAAATCGATAGCTTTCTTGGTCCACTAGCCTGCATTTCCAAAGCAGATATATACATGAACTTGTCAATGCACCTGTACTATCCACTGGACTATTAAGCTTTAATATTCTCTAGCCTAATGGCTCTTTTTAGACCAGCCATGACTGTCATAAGTGGCTGACAAAAAAATGGCTTGCTAAGAATATAACTCAACCTTTATACGTGTTGAATATAAACCCAAGACTACAAGGAATTGATTCAGTCATTGAAACCCCATTTACAAGTACATGCACTAAAAAAAAAATTGGCATGGCACTGCAAATTTCAGCACTGTGCCGCAGTAAGGCACCATCCATTTAAAAAACCCACAAGAGGTTTGCTCCTGTGTGGCGCAGTAACAATTTTTGCCTTGCACCATATATTTCCATCTATTTCCCTCGGAAAAGGCAATTCCAAATGTATTGTTTTGCCACAATTGTTTTTAGGAAAATGTAGAAAGTCCAAGCTAAAGAACTGTCAACTGTGCTTTTATTCTAGTTTTATCAGAATCACCTAAATTGAAAATGAACAATTTGGATCATGGTGGTTTTAATTAATAAATCGATGTAGAACAGGTTATTAAATAAAATAACCGGGAAAAAAGGTACAATGTACTAGTATTGCATTAAGATGAACCAACAACTAAATGTAAAAAATTGTCATGAAAAAGTACAGACAATTTTGTTTTAACGATTTTTCAACAAGATAAAATCTCGGTGAGCCGTCATTTAAGAATTTTGGAAATAAACCGTAGTTTAATGATTAATCACTCGAAAAATGAGAACTCCCGATCATTCGCCTGGAAAATTGGCGCTAAAATTTTAGCGATCGCTAAAAAAAAGAGATTTTATAACCAGGGAAATTACCCCAAGTTGATTTCTCAACCATAACTCACAAATATCGGAAGGAAATTTTCTTTGAAACGGCCTGACTCTCACTACAATAGAGCATTACTTCCGATACGAAAAAGAACCCTATTTTGCATGAAATAACCAGCTGCCTACAGAACATTTCAGGCTAGAATATCAATTAAGGACGTGCAATATCGGTTCGCTCCGAGGAACTGTTCATATATTTTTGCATTCAAAACCGAACTTTAACCAGCCTATAGTTCAATAAAAATACTTTATAGGCAATTCACTGGCCCCACACTTACCAATGAGCGGCAAACGGCCGGCACAGATCTAAATGAAAAGGCAGATTTTTGAGCTCGCGAAGACGAACGGACGCTTCCACATAGACAAACAGTAACCATAGGCTAACCGTTGGTAGGCATAAACCACGGTCTGAAAATATCAAAACAGTCCATTATTAGACCAAAGGACGAAGAGATATTTAGCTGTAGTTTTTTTGTAACAAAGAGACGGAAATCTATCGCGAGTAAAATTTAGTTTCCTGGCAAATTCACCGAATTCGAAGTTTGTATCTGATCCACCAGTCGACCTGACGAAATGTAAACATTGAAAATCTTCGTCGTGTGAATTCAACTTATAACTAAGATGCCCGCCTCTAACGGCTCTAATCTGCTAAAATTGATCTATATGGAATTACCTGTATGCCAGACGAATTGAACCCAAACATACGTGCTAGCAGCAAAGAACAACCAGTGTACAGGTAAAAACATCAAACATACTAAGTCTGAACAGAAAGCCAGTGTGAGGAAGAGCAGAGAGAAGGCCTGGAAAAAAATAACGGCGAAAATAAACGGCTACAACAAAATTGCGGATGCTTAGACAATTTTCAGGGCGAACCACATTTATGATAGCAACCTTGCGATCAGTCAAAGGGCCAATGAACGACAAGTAACGAGTGATTTACGGTAAATTCACTTACCAAACCTTGGTACTTGAATGAGTCGTAAGCGCTCCGCAACAGTAGCCAAAAAGGCCAAAGATATTCAAAGCGAAACTCCAAAAGGAAGTCCGCCGTCAACACCATAATCCATACTAAGAAAAATCTGACGTACAGAAATACACTAGAAGGGATAAAAATTTAGAACAGGTTAGAAAACCGACTTTATATCCGAAGTTATATGAAATGTGAGTGGAACTGAAGTGGCCAGAGGCCAAACGACCCGACACAACAACACTTCGACTTTTACCTTCCATAAATCGATTCTGTGATGCGAGAACGTTTTAAAGGCCTTCTGAGCTTTGAAGGATCAATACTTCTTCTCTTCATTTCGACGTGTGGCTCATCGAATGTGGTTTTCCGAACGCGTGAATATGGAAAATATAAAATTAGTCAGTGGGGAAAACGGACAACTAAAACTGATTTCCCTAAGTAATCGCTCATTGCGCTTGCGTGGATGACGTCACACGGCGGCCATGACATAGCGGCCATTCCCTCGCTCCCGCCCCTCTCGTTCAGGGTCAATAAATAACACACCTGGGATCTCTTCCAAAAATATATTTCCAATCAAACCTGTGAAAATAAAGCTTGGTTACAAGCTCTTTGCATTCTTAAGGGGAACTGAACTTCCTAGTCGCTAAAGAAAGAAAGAGAGCTTTGTATGAACTGAATTCCACCCTTCCGTGACCGTTCATCGACTGACTGAACAGTGACAAGAAATCTTAGATCTATCTTTTCACCCCTTTACATTACATTGTTTTACAATTTAGATTCGTGCAATTATCATAGCAGCCAATGACAAACTATTGAATTAAAAAAAATACAAAGATAAGAAAAAAATTTAAGATGATATCCAAAAAACATAATGGAGAGGGGGCGGACCAGCTCAATGGGGGAGGGGGTGTTTAATCACAATCTTATTCGTACAGCGAACCTCTTTACGACCCTTTACGAGAGGAGATCCTTCAGATGAGGAAGGGTGTCTGTCAAATGAAGAAGCTAGGTTTTCAGCAAAAATCAATTAAACCTTTAAAACCAATGGTGGAGTGTTTTAATAAGTATTAAACGCAGAGCACGAGTTAACCTCGAGCGCGAATTCAGACCATGTGAGCTTCAGTCACGCGTCAAGTTCAACTCGGCGGTCTGGTTTTGTTTGTTTTTTGTTTTTTTTTCTTTGGTTACATTGGGCTGCTAGTAAAATAAGGAACGTTGCAATGGGTAAAGGAACTCAGCGCACAGAGAGCCTTGTTTGGTTAGCTTGAGAAGCTCTCAGGTCAGCCTAAATTGCGCTCTGGTTACTACTAAAATAACTCTAACTTGACTTTTCTTCAACTGTCTATAACCGTAAGGGTTTCAGACGTTTCACATCGTGCAACCCTCACACTGGTAAGAGCTACAACTGCTGTCGAGTCAGTGCTACCTAAGCTAACCGGAGAGCCATTTGGTAAACCAAAGCGTCGTTTACGCCAACAGGGGTGCTACTCAGGCGAAATCAAAATAAATAACAAAAAAATCTACGTGGACTCGCGTGACACCGTTTCCCGTAACGCTGTTACGCGTTTTACTTACAACTGCAACATTATGTACATATCTAAACAAGACTGAGGCCTAGAGGCCTTAACGCGGATGGTT